TGTGGGGAAACTGAGGCAGGGGGAGCAACTTAAATCAATTCGCAGAGCCCAATTTAACATAGAATCATAGAATCGTTTAGGTTGGAAAAGCCCTTTAAGATCATCAAGTCCAACCATTACCCTAACCCTGCCACCCCACCACTAAACCCTGTCCCTAAGCGCCCCATCTGCCCGGCTTAGTTCACCCAGAAGGCAGGATTTCAGACTTAACATGCATCTCTCTCCATCAGGGACAACGATAGCATTATATGCGTGTTTAGTTTACAGCTATTTTTTTTTTTAAGGGAACTGAAAAAATCTAACCCAGGTTAGGTGGTTAACTCAGGTTTAGCTAAACCACATGGCAACCCTTAACACCCACAGCAGCTGCCACCTCTCCTCTTGGTTGCTAGCGCAGGTAATGGTGCAACAGTGGTTGCATCACCTCATCTTCCCAGGGACCGGAATAAGTTAAACACACAGACAGGCTCCCAGGGAATTAGGGAATGGAGGGCTGAACCCTTCTGCCAGGCAGCAGCGTCTCGCAGCATCTTTTCTGCTTCACAGCCCTTCTCCTCCGCTCACATCCCAAATTGTGGGGTGCAAGAGCAGCCATGGGGGACATTTGCTGATGGGCTAAACATGCTGTCCCTGTGGCCGCGGGGCCATGCTTTGGAGGAAAGCCACAAAGGCTTGCGTGCTGGGCTAGGAAAACCTCGAATGAATGCCTTGGCAGAGGTAAATCAGGGTAATGCCACCTCTCCCTCCCTGCACCAGCACACAGCAGATGAGCCGGTAGGGCCCCAGACCGCTGGGATGCACTGGGCTACCCTTGGCCAGTTTTTACCCACATGTGCAGACCAGCGTGGGGTTGGCCAATGCTGTTAGCAAGGTAAAAATAAATGAATAAAAAACCCCGCAGAGTCATTTGCCATCTCCTGCTCACCAGGAGGGTACCACGCACTGCCTCTTTCAGGCTGGGCTCTTCCTGCGTGCAGTCCTGCTCCTTTAAATAAAGCAGCCAGAGGACAGGTTTACACAGGAAAATTATTTCTGCATGCATTTAAATAGCTGCGCCCGCGCAGCTCCTCATGTCAGTGCACGACTGCTGCTTTGCAGCCTCCCCTGAACCAAACCCCTTTCCTCTCGCCTGGGAAGCACCCCACCATGTCCCAGGGCTGCCGCAGGGAACAGCCGCTGTGCCGGCTCACCATGCCACCAGGCAGCTGGGGACACGAGTGGCATTTGGGGCGAAGCCACATCGCAGGACACGGAGTGCAGGGGCGTGCTGGGCATTGCAGAAACGCTGCAAGGAGCCCCAGCCCTCCCACCACTGCCCCAGCCGGTGGGGCTGGAGACCACCATTCCCCCAGCCTGCCTTTGCTGCCTCTGGCCTGGCTCCTTGCCCAGCCATAGGGAGTGGGAGATGAGAGTTCAGGCAGAGGGCTCCGCTCACATAAAGAAAAAAGAAAAATAACTGCACAGCCTTGGAGAGGTGGGCTGGCCAGCCTGGGTGTGGTGACCTTCTCCAGCAGCATTGCCTTCACCACCAGGTAGGGATGTTCTTGCTTCCTTGGAGGACAGACAGATGGACAACACAGCTTTCAACTCAAGGCACCCAAACTCCTTGCAGAGATGCAGCTGGCGGGGGGGAGGGGGGGAGGGCGGGCAGCTCCTGGCCGAGGGCATGTCAGCACGGGCTGGGGCCACCACCAGGGACCCTCCCCACCCAGGCACCGTCCCCAGGGCTTTGCAGCGGGAGCACAGCCCTTCCAGCTCAGCCCCTGCACCCACGTGAGTCACCGTCCTCATTCTCCACTACTTCATGACCTTGACCATGGCCCTTGAAACTTCAGCTTCTTTCTCCACCCTTCCTCTATGGACTATGAACACTTCCAGGCCACAGCTATCTTTAGCAAGCATCTACACAGCATCCAAGCCAGTGAAACATGGTTTTATCTGCGGTTTCTAGGCGTTACCGCAACAGGGACGACACATTCCCCCTCTCCGAGATGTGTCAGCCCTCTCCGAGCAGCCCAGGATCGCATCCAGCCCCACAGCAAGCTGCAGCTTCAACTACACACAGCTTTTCATCTAACAAAAAAAAAAAACAAAACAAAACAAACCAACAAACAAAAAAAAAATCACCCAAACCAGAACACAGAAATCTTCTGCCATCCCAGAGGGGGATCTGCGTGGATCTCCCCAGATAATCAAATTTAAACCACCACCAAAATAGACCTTTGATTAGTGGACATGGAGCCCATTCATAGCGACAGCATGTCAGGTCAATGTTCACTCCCAAAATCAACTGCCCGCCTCAGGAAAGGGATTTTTTTTTTTTTACTTTTATTTGATGGTCTGCATTTGAGGTCTAGTTAATAAACAGTGTACTTGGGTGTGCCATCTGGCCGGCCACAGAGCACGCCTAGAAACAATACTAATAAATCATCCCATGGTGGTGCTTTAAAAGGCAGTTTTACAAAAGCCTGGGCAGACTGATGGAAACCTATCAGGCGTGTTTTGTGTGCCCGGAGAGCTCAGCCTTCGGGCAGTCTGCCTCGCAAATCAGCTGCTGTCTACAAGGGTCAGAGTCCAAAATTACGCTGCTGTTTTACTCAGACACTCATTGGAACAGCCGGTGCTTTTTTTCTTAAGCCAGCACGCAGGAATTAACTTGTGCAAGTTAGAGCTGGGCTGGTGCTTTACAACATAAATAGATAAAAAAAATACACCTTGCAATATTTTTAATGTCAACAAAACAGAAGCTGGGGAACACTTGTGTGCCTCATCCCAAGCAGGGATCGCCCGGAGGGACATGCACCACTCACCCAGGGACTCGGCGGCAGGTAGACACCAAACACAGAGCTCCAGACCCAACATTTTCAGCACAAGAGCCAAAAGTCTCACTTCTGGATTCACACAGACATCTCCTTGCAATGCAGAAGAGCATCTGTCCCACCTAGGGACCATCTGACCCACCTGGGTCTGTCCCACCCATCGGGACAGATCCCAATGCAGGGATGCCCCTGCCCCACCAGATTTTGGGTCCCACTTCACTTTCCCCATGCGCATCGCTATGCACGAGCCTGCCCTCTCGCAGCCATACTGATGCCCCCAGCCCTACGATACAGACAACTGACCTAATTTTCCTCTTTTTAAACACCCAGAGGTCATCTCCATCTGTAGCAAACCCCACTGAGCAGGGGAGAGACACGCAGAACGATCTGTGTTAACATCAGTCCTTCTCCCCAAGTCTTCCTCCAAATTTTGCCCTGTGCTGCCTCGTCTAAATGCCCGAGGATCCGCATCTCCCACATCCCTCAAGGCTGTAAAATGATGGTGAAAAAGAGAAGGTAGGGAGGTCCTCTGCCATTTCTGGGTCCATACACATTGGGGCTGGGTGCAATGGCTCACTACGTGCATGAACTCCACCTCATTTTCCTTCACAACTCAGAACATCTCACCTGAAGTACCCAAGGGCGTTTCTTGGCTCTCTCCCCGCAGCGAGACGTCACCCACATCCACGCTTTGCCTGCTGCCCGGTGACTCAGAGTCGCAGCGAGAACGCTCCCTCCCAGTTAATCCAGTTGCTCCAGTAGCACGTCCCTCCTCTCCCAGCCCTCAAAGATAAGATTTGCCCCATCTGTCTTGCTGCCCAGTTTGCCTTTCCAGTAGATCTGACCAAAGTCAGATTTTCTAGTCCATGGCAAACCCTGATGCTTCAGGACACATCTTCCCATACCTAAAACAACCACTAAAAAAGCAAGTGAAAAACTCTACGCTTTCCACCCCCAAAAATCACCTTTTTTAGTAAGAAGGTCACTCTAGTCAACTGGAACACGGCTTTTGAGTTCTGATTTTTCAGAGCTTATGCAAGCAGAAAAACGCAGCACTGAAACAAAAAGGAAGGACATCAACACAGGGTCTGGGTGTTTGGGGGGAAAAGAATAAAGTATAAAAGAATTACAGAGAGCATGTCCCTGCAGAGCATTTCACTTCTGACTCAGCCCCAGCCCGGGCAGGGAAGCGCAGGTGTTCAGCACACGCCGAGCCTGGACCAAACCCTCAAAGCCAACAAGGCCGATGCCAGCGCCAGGCAGCCGGCGCAGAAGCCCATTGCAGCCACACACAGGTATCGCTTCCCTCGCAGGGCCCTGGAGAAGGGTCGGGGTCTCCGGGAACGCCTTTGGTGCCCAGGATGGCTGGAAGTGGCTGCGGGGTGGTTTGATGGGGGGAGGTCTCCTCCAAGGAGAGACCCTGCATCTCACTGCCCTGCGAGCACGAGCAGGGGACCCAAAGGGTCTGGCTGCTGCTCAGACAGTTATTTGCAGGAATAAAGTAAAACCCTCAACTCAGCGACGCTTCTCTAATGACTGACATATCACTGAAGGTGGAGGAAAAAAAAAATAATAATTGCATGCTGGCTTTAAAAAGGCAAAATGCGAGGGTGGGTACGGTGAAATGAGGAGGAACACATTCATTATACAAGAGCTCACAGCATCAGCTACGGCGACTGTCCTGACACAGCAAAGGAGAGGAGATGGCAGGGTTAAACACCCGGCAAGGCAGGAGCCGACACTTCTGTCGGGCCGCTGCTGCTTTCCTGGTGCTCAGCAAGGGCAGAGCACAAAGCTTTGCTCGCCTCTGCTGCAAGGAAAACAAACCTCTCCAAAGCTCCTGCGCTACCCTCCCAAGCCCAAGCGTGAAGGCAGTCCTGTCCGATAGGGACTAATGGCATGGGCAAGGCATTAGAGGAGAGATTCTGCTTCTGTACAACTCAGAAATGCAAGTTTAGTCCCTTGCGGGCTGCCGGGGCTTTTGCCACAGCTATGGATATCTTCATAATCCACATCTTGAAAGACAGGAAGAATACGCTCCATAAATTTTTACAGGGCCAGCTTCCTTCCTGCTTTGCCTTTTTTTTTTTCCCTCTTTTTTTTTTTTAAATACTAGCACCAGATGACAAGATCCATTCTTGCCTGATCTGCATCCCGAATCCCAAAATAACCCCAACGCACCGCAGCCCCGCGTAGCCCTCCAGGCAGGGGCACTGCCCCGTCGTCCCGTTGCATTCGGCCGCGCCGGCGCTCCCCAGGGCGCTGCAGTTGCACAGGTCTCCTGCAAGGGGAAAGAGAGGCTGAAACCGGGGTGCTGGGGGCACGGTGCTGAGCAAGAGCCCCAGCGGGGCCAGCGTCGCTGTTGGCGCGGCCGCCCTCCCTTTGCTCACCCCAGGTTAGAAACATCATCGCCGTTAGGATGAGATTCGCTTTAAAATGCTGAGATGATTAAAAAAAAAAAAAAATCCATGTTGGGAGCACCCTGGGGTTTGAGCCCCCATGGTTCATGTTTCAAATCTCTCTCAAAAAGACAGCTAGAAGATTATGGGTGTAACTACTTAAAAACATACATATGTGGCTGTGTGTCTGTCTGTACACACACACACACACACTCCTGCGGTTGCCCGGTCACGCAACTCCAGGAGCTGACAAGCGCTAGCTGCTGTAATATTAGGATAAAATCAGCAACAGGGGGCAGAATGACTGAGCAGAAGATGCTCCAGTCCGCACCGCTGGAACACCTCCCATTTACCAGCAGGCTGGGCTTTACGGGACGGGACACGCACAACAGACCCAGGCCATGAACCGGCACCAGCATCTCCCACGCCTGGAGAACGGGTGCAGAATCCCCCGACCGGGAGCAGAGATGCTCCAGGCGTTTGGGCCGATGGCAGGGGTCCAGAGGCACCAGCCCAGGCTCCCCTGAAAATTTGTCCTCTGGGAAACAGATTTAATGGGGTGGTGGAGCTGGGGCAAGACGGAGACCTCCTGGCTACCATGCTTTGCCATCAAAACTACAACAGGCCACCTTCAGCCCCGTGGCAAGGGGGATGCCCATTTACAGGGGTGATGGAAAGAACGCACCCAGCAGCCATTTTTAAGAGAGGAGCAAATCTTTTGATGAAGTGATGAATTCCCAGTCCGCCTGCACATTATTTCTCCTAATACTTTAAAGCACCAAACGCACCGAAGAGAACAACCTCTCCCCAGCAATTTGTTTCTGCCAAGAGCTTTATCTCCGCTCCTTCATTGCTAAATATTTAGTGCCTTAATAATTTAAAGTCTTTCTCTGCCAAGGGTGAACTATAAACAAGGATTATTTGCAGAAATAGCGCATAAAGCATCAGGGACTTTACGCAACCGTTGGTATTTGTTATTCCCTGAGAAAAGCCAGTATTCAGGGCACTTCACGGAGAGGCCAGGTCCCCATCCCAAGAAAACTTGACTTAAAGCTCAAATCACGTCAAGATGACCAAACACTAATGCTCCACGTCAGCACTCATATTTCAGATTATTTAATATTTATATTGCACGCTTGTGCCCCAACCCAATGGAAAGGACCTCAGCAGGTGCCTGGATGGAACCACACTTAAAACCCAGTGACTTAATAAAGGTTGATTTATGAATATGTAAGTAATGTGCTGAAATCAGAGCACACTGAAGACCTCAGAATGCCTTTGAAAACACCAACCATAAGCGCTCCCCCCCCTCCAGCAGCATGGCAAAGGCTCCCCCACGTCCTTGCCTTGGGTGCATTCACTGGGGGACAGAAGCAGAAGGGGAAGGCAGATTACAGAGCAGTTTGGCAAACACGTTACACAAACACAAAAACACGGTTACGGGTTGACTTTTCAAGGAATGCTACAAGCCAAGTGGGAGGAAGGATCCCCCTCTCCCCAAAAGGGACTCTTTTGAGAAGCTCCAGGACCTCTCTAACCAACAGACAGCCAGGCTGCGGCTCCCCAGTGCGTTTGCTTTTTATCTGTCTTCTTCCAACACACAAAGAAATACGAGTTATTTAGCTATCAATACATACACAGTAACCCCTCAAAAGTCATTTTGTACCTAGACACCTGTGAAACTGCACCTAAATTTTCTTCAGTCTAAGCTAGCAAATAGGACAAACACCTCAAGATCTGCAATTATCCACTTCAGCATCCACTTCACATAACGAAGTAAATTCCCATCTCAATTAGCCAAGCCAAACCTTATTGATTTGGGCACTTGGGCTGCTACCAGCCAACGGGAACCGCAAAAACTTGTTGAGCAAAAGCACGTTGGAGTTTGTCAAACACGCATCCAAACAAATTTACCTTCCAAAGCTCATTGCGTGCCGTGCCATTAGACCTGCTAGGCTTGATTAAGACAAAAAAGCATTGTGTCAGTTCTAAGGGCAATGCGAGGTGCTGAGAGGGCAGGTCCAGCGCGGTGGCGATGGGCTGCTCCGTGCAGAGACCACCCTCGTGCTGCAGGCACAACACAGCCAGAGCCAGCACCGGCTGCACGCCGAGCCCATCCCAACACCACAGCAGCACCAGCCAAGAGCTAAACTACTTCTGCTGGAACATGATGGGTGCTACAAGTCAAATTCCTGTTCAAAATGCTGCTGTTGATGTGGAAAAAAAAAATAAATTATTCCATGCCAATGATGGCCACCCATAAGCACTGCCCTGCTGTGCTCTTGCCCTCTCCACCCAGCAAACCAGCACCGACTGATGCGGCTCACCAGGAGCCGTCAGAGCCCAAAAGGAGACACGGGCATAGCCAATACCTGGGCACGTTGCCATTAAAAAAAAAAAAAAAAAAAATCCAAACGGCCTCATCCGCTGCAAGAGCCTAGAAGGTCCTTAAGCTGAGATAGGGCTGTGCTGTAGCAGCTTGATGAATGTGGGTTTGTGGCCATGCTTGCACTAGGGGAAAAGGGAGGGCGATCCCCAAATATATTATACTGACAAGAGAGGGGAGAGCTGATTTTGCCAGTGTATTGCCTTCCAAGGCAATCAGCCATGGGAAAAAAAGTTAAAAACAGAAGTCAGAGAAGGGCTGCATATACTGGCAAGAGCCTCACGTTTCTTTTGCCCTTTATCAAAGGACTTCAGTCATCCATCAAAAGGGTCCCGCCATCGCCAAACTGTGGTGCAACTCATTGGGAACATCATCGCTACTTAGAGGAGCCCCACACGCACTGGGCGGCAGCGGAGGCGAAGGCAGGGTCTGTCCGAGCCCCGCTGCCTTATCGGAGGGATGCAAACACTAACAGCCTTGCTGAAAAAAACAGCTGACTTTGGGTTGATCTTGGCAATGCCACCAACTACTAAACTGGGTTTTCCTTCCAGCTACAGAGCTGCTTGTGTGCCGAGATACTTTTGGAAAGCTGTATGCTTCCCAAAACCAAATACAGCAACTTCCCAATGCCTTTTTTTTTCCTGCAGGTCTTTGCCCATCAAAATTGCACAAAGCTGGGTCAAAACCTGGAGGCAGCTCAGCCTCAGCAGCCAAACTCAATGGCAACGCAGATGCCACCAGCTTTGCACACGCCGGTTCCCTGGGAGAATGAGAAATGCTGCAATAATCCAAAATAACACAGGCAAAAAGCAGCTTTTTGTTCGCAGGCTGG